CTCTCTCTCTCTCTCTCTCTCTCTCTCTCTCTCTCTCTCTCTCTCTCTCTCTCTCTCTCTCTCTCTCTCTCTCTCTCTCTCTCCTTCTTTAACAGGCACAAGCACACGCACGCAGAGCACCTTGACGAGTGTGATCTTAAAGGGGACGTGCTTTGAGATTGGGAAATTTCTGTGCTCTGATTGTAGAATGTATCTCCCTTCTCTCCCGTTGCTAGGTCACAACAATCAACCAATCGGTCAATCGATCAATCTTGTCGGGTTGCTCACTTAATTAATGGCCCTCGCTCCACTACAGGACACTCTACATGCATTTGGACGCTTTCTCGACTAGGTGCATTGGGATTCCAACATTGCTAACGTGTGGGGAGCGGAAAGGGTCCAAATGCATGTATGAATGTTGTGTAGTGGAGCGAGGCCCAATCAATCACTCTGGTCAATGGGGAAGGCTGAGCGAGAGCTTGCTGATGTGGACGAGTGACAGGGGAAAGGGGGAAAGAGGAGGAGGAACGGGAAGAGGTGGAGAAGGTATCAGGGGAACGGTGAACAAGATGACTGTTGTCGGTAGACGAAGAGCTACGCAGATTCTGAGCATGCCATGGTGGCGTGGCCTTGGCCCTAACGTGGTCGTCATGTCCTCTGCCCCCGCCATAGCCATAGCTCTTCGACACTGTCAATTTCAGAAAGGATGGGTGTCATCTGTGTCGTCTGGCTCGTTTTCCTACTTCGCCTTTAGCGTCAAGTATGTTGTTGTTGACGGGTACTCTCTCTCTCTCTCTCTCTCTCTCTCTCTCTCTCTCTCTCTCTCTCTCTCACACACACACACACACACACACACACACACACACAAGGGCGCGCACGCACACACACACACACAAGGGCGCGCACGCACACACACGCACACATACACATGCACTGCCCGCCCCTCCATCTGTGTCTCACTCCGCCTCCTCTCTTTCTCCCTCACACACGCACATACACCCCGCACCCGGACAACTCTCTCTCTCTCTCGCGCGCGCGCTCTGTCTCTCTCTCCTTTTCTCTATCTTTCTCTCACTCTCTCTCTTGTCGTCTCTCTCTCTCTGTGTATCTCCTTTCCACCCTCACGTTGTCTGCGGGTATGAGGGCATCCTCACACTAGGACTTGTTGCACTCGGCTGTGGAGGCAACTGCGGTCAGATACGCCGATGCGCGGCGGTAATTGGAGATAGATACATCCAGAAAAGTCCTAGTGTGAGCAGTCCCCTGAGTGCGTCTTCGACAGACAGTGAGGGCCATATTTTCGCACACTCCATGCATTTGCAAGAAAAAGGGATCATATCATAGTTAGCCAGGAAACGGGACCGGCGTCTTGTAATCGGGGACCCATTGACTTACCGTGCCCTGCGCAGCCCGTCAGGGGTGCGTTTTATGCCCCTGAGACATTTTTTCGTCGTCGTCCTTTTCCTTCGTTATACCGGTGGTTCATTTGGGCCCATTGGTCGTTGAAAGGCTGGTAAAATGAAGGCACAGGCATTTAGGGGGTGGCGGCAGTTCAAGCAAGTGCAGGACTGGTAGCTGCCCATGGCATTAGGGCCTTGATACAGGCCCTTTGGTCGAAAAATCGAAACGGTGCACCCGTTCCCTCACGGTCGCACCCGTTCCCTCTCGACTGGAAGGCGCAGGCGGGTCCAATCTTGCAATTTTCGAGCGCCAACTTTGGCGATTTTTCGTACGCAGCATAATTGGAGAAAACATCTGCAAATTTGATATCGGGTAGGCCAGGTCGTGATCTTTCCAGGAAAAATATCAATAAAATAAAATAAAATCGTTTAGACCATGAAATAAATGCCGCACCAATTCGTCACTTTTTCCATTTTTGGCACATGACAACTTGTGGGCCAACGGGAAAAGTACCCCTATTTCAAAGATTTTTCACACTCAGAAGAACTCGTAAACAAGTCTGAAAATTTGAGGGTCCGTAGATTTGGTCATGATCTTTTCAGGAAAAATGTTCAAAAAATTAAAAAAATTGTCTCAATCGCGAAATAGCTTATAGCGCAAATTCATCTCATTTTCCATATTCAGCACACACACACACACACACACACACACACACACACACACACACACACAAACACACACACACACACGTCCACAACAATATCAACAAACAAACTACGGGCTGCGCACCCGTGCCCTCACGGTAAGTCAATTTGTTCGCAGCCCGTCAGGGGTCCATTTTATGCCCTGGGAACATTGCGTTTTTTATGCCCTGGGAACATTTTTCGTCGTCGTCACCAAACGGTGCGGTAGTTGGAAGGTGGGTTTTATGCCCCTGAGAACATTTTTCGTCGTCGTTCATTATACGGTCGTTGGAAGGATGAAAAAACAAGGCATGGCAGTTTAGGGGGTGGTGGCATCTTATTTGAAACAGCAGGACCGGTAGTGCCGCACGAGTTTTGGTCCAGGACCTCGTAGGACCGGTAGCTGCTAGTAGGAGGCTGAGGAGGCCGCAGTCCTTTTTCGAAATTGAAACGGTGCGAGTAGTCCTTTTTCGAAATTGAAACGGTGCGGGTCCTACACGTTGTATTCGAATACAACCTGTACACTTTCTATTCGGATTTTGAAAAGAAAAAACTCTTGTATTCCGATAACATTACTTCTTATTTTTGTTGGAGGTCAGCGCTTGCCCTTGCGCTCCCCGCCACTGACATGCTGCATGCTGCAGCTCTCTCTCTCTCTCTCTCTCTCTCTCTCTCTCTCTATATATATATATATATATATATATATATA